TATAATGATAAATTATAGATTTAGGAAATTTTTTATGTACCACTTCTAATGGCTGTTTTACAAAATATTGGCACAAAGTTGGGCTATTCAACATTCCCTGTGGGAGAACCCTCCATTGAAATCTTTTAACCGGTTGAGAATTATTATAAGTAGGCACTGTGAAAGCAAATCTTTCTCTGTCTTTTTCTTGTAAGGGTATTGAAAAGAAACAGTCTTTTAAATCAATAACTATGAGAGGCCAGCCTTTTGGTAACAGAGTAGGTAAAGGAATTCCAGATTGTAAAGAGCCCATTGGCTGAATTACTTTGTTAATTGCTCTAAGGTCTGTTACCATTCTCCATTTACCAGATTTTTTTTTATAACAAATACAGGAGAATTCCAAGGGCTGGTTGATTCTTCAATATGATGAGCATTTAACTGTTCTTCCACCAGCTCTTGTAAAGCCTGGAGTTTCTCTGTTGTTAAAGGCCATTGCTGAACCTATACAGGCTTGTCTGTTGACCATTTTAAAGGTAGAGCTGTTAATGTTTTTGGAAGATTATCAGTTGTTGTGCCCTGTTCTTGTATGACATGGATGGCTGGTGAGCACTCTTTAGAATAATATCTTTTAATATTTCTCTCAGAAACATGTACTAATTTATGATTTGTTTCTGAGATTGGAGGGATATTAATCTGAGTATTCCATTGTTGTAACAAGTCTCGACCCCACAGGTTCATAGCTATGTTAGCCATATATGGTTTTAATTTTCCTTTCTGTCCTTCTGGACCTATACATTCAAGCCATCTTACACTTTGTTTCACTCTAGATAATGTCCCAATTCCTAAGAGTTGAATGTTTACCTCCTGAAGAGGCCAAGTTGGATGCCAAAATTCTGGTGCAATTATGGTAATGTCAGCACCTGTGTCTACCAGACCAGACAACAAAACACCATTTATTTTTATTGTTAGTTTTGGTCTTTGTTCATTAATAGAAGTTTGCAAAAAAATTTTCTTTATGTTTTTTCCTGTATTTCCTATTTTCTCTGTTTCATCATCTCGACTAACATGATTTATTCCAATAGACATTTGGTTATTTAGTTGCTTTGAGTAGGGGTTTCCTCTACAACTGCAGGAAAGGTTTGAACTGGATTTACTGTGGGGGCCTGCCTGAGGCCCCTCTGGGAGTTTCCCGAAGCTCGAGGCAGAGGGTTACCCTGTCTGTCCCTTGTTGATCTACATTCGTTGGTCCAGTGTTTTCCCTTACCACACCTTCTGCATACTCCAGAAGGAAGGGGCATTCTGTTGCCAGTGTTCCTTGAATAAACATTATTTCTAGGAATGACCTGTTTACAATCCCTTTTCAAATGTCCTTGCTTTCCACATCCAAAACATCTAACATTGCTCAAACCTTTTGAAATTGCTTTTCCTACCCACATATCATCATGGTCATAAGCCTCTACATTAACTGTATCTCTAATCCAATCTTCCAAAGGTGCAGATCTTGCCTTTAACGGCCTAATTATTCTTTTGCACGCTGCATTTGCATTCTCAAAGGCTAAAGATTCAATTATTATCTGACTAGCCTCTGAATTCGGGACCATTTTTTGTACTGCTGAAGTCAATCTTGGTAAGAAATCTGTGAAAGATTCTTTGGGGCCCTGTATAACCTTTGTAAATGACTCAGTTTTTTTTCCTGGTTCTTCAACTCTGTCCCATGCATTCAAAGCTGCCGTTTTACATAGAAGTAGGGTTTGGACATCATATGAACATTGTGTTTGTACTGAAGCATATTGGCCTTCGCCAATAAGCTGATCCTGGCAGACTTGTATTCCGCTATCCCTCCATTGTCTTTCTATATTTTTAGCCTCATTACTGAACCACATTTTCCACTGGAGATTTTGTCCGGGTTCAAGAACAGCCTGTGCCAATTCCCACCAGTCCTTTGGTATAATCCTATTACAAGTTGACCAGGTGTTTAACATTTGCTTTACATATGGGGAGTGCATGCCATAAGATGCTATTGCCTCCTTAAATCTTCGTAAGTCTAACATTTCAACTGGAACCCAAGTATTCTGTTCATTCTCTTCATCAGGTAGCTGCTGTACGGCTACTGGATAAATTAAGGGTGATTGTGTGAAAACTGGCTTTCTTTCTGTAACCTTACGATCCAATTTTGAAACAACTTCACTATTTATTTCTTCTGTCTGAATTTGAATTTCTCTATAATTCATTTTTACCGGTTTAACAAGTTTTTCTAAGACTGTTATCCTGGCACTTAAGTTGACGATCTTTTTAAATAGTAAAATGAGGATAAGAAAAGTAATAAACTGAATAATTCGATCAATATTAATGTTTTCATATAGTTGTTCCATTGTCAGAGTGCCTAAAATTTCAAACAAAGCCCAATTTTCTTCCAATGTACACATAAAGCCCATTTTTTTTAATGTAGAAAAAAATTCTCTTTTAAATAGATATGTTAATTGACTTACCAAGTCTGGGTAGAACAGTAGAATCCCAGGGAATTTCACAGCCACCTGGTGTTCCAGGTGTGAATCCAGCGAGAGAGAGAGAGAGAGAGAGAGAGAGAGAGAGAGAGAGAGAGAGAGAGAGAAAGTGTAGCTGCTTGAGCCGAGTCAAGCCTTGGCTTTACAGGCAGGGGCCCTGTTCAGCAGGGCAGGTCTGAGTTGTTTGTAGCAGTTGCAAGTAGCTCCAGCTGCGGGTCAGTCAGGCCTGGGCCCAAGCTAGGCAGCCGGGCCGCCCAGGCTGGAAACCGGACCTGCCGCCAAGCCAAGCCAAGCGGTTTTTAATGAATTCTTGTCACGTTGGGCGCCAAATGTAGATGTATCCAACCTTCTTATTAAATAATAAACACAGAACCAATGCAAAGAAGAAAGCCAAGAGGTCAGAGCTAAGAGCTAAAACCTTACCCTTCCTCCTGCGGTGGTCCTACCTCTCCAAACCAGAGCTACCCCTGTGTTAAAGTCTTTATATAGAGTTCCTGTCCTGCCTTCTCATTGGTTGTAAACCCAACCACATGACCGCCTCCTCACAGCCTGTCTGTATAGGCCTCCAGGTTTTCCATGATTGGTATTAAGATTAAAAGCATGTGTATCCAATAATGGCTGTATCCCTGAACACACAGAGACTTACCCAGCTCTGCCTACCAAGTGCTGGAATTACAAGCGTACGCTACCACTGCCCTGCTTTCCTATGGCTTGCTAATAGCTCTGACCCCCGGGCAACTTTATTTATTAACATACAAATAATATTTTAATACAAATAAAATATCACCATATTGGTAATGTTATGAAATACGTAAATTACATAATTACATATGCTCTGCTTATGAACTGAAATATTTGTGGCTTAAGAAAGTCAGGGCCCACAAGATGGCTCAGCAAGTAAAGGGAAACAGGCTTGCCACCAACCCTAATGAACCAGTTTTGATGACTGGAATCCGCCTGGTAAAAAAAAAATGGTAACTGACTCTTGCAGGTTATACTTTGGCCTCCACATCTATGCCCTGGCATGCCCCCACACATACATACATACAATAAAAAATAAATATTATAAAATTTAAAATGATATTTTCTCTTACACGTAAACAATGACTGAAGGTAATTTATCTAGGGTAGATGTGGAAACGTCCTGATTATCAGGGATGAAGGTGTTTTTCTATATCATTATGGCATCTTCTCCATGGACCAGGGTACCTAGCTATACAGAGTTCAACTGTCCTATGCAAGTCTAAGCTCATAGGATGTCTCCCATAACTTTTTCATAGAGCTACCTGTATTCTATTGACCAGAACCTAGTCCTGTGGCTATATGAGTTGCAAGACAGCTTTATGGTCTTAATTCTGGGAAAATATGTGCCCAAATGTAGAACCAGGGGTTTTTAATGATGGAAATACAAGAATTGAGATAAAAGAAAATGTAATATGCTAATAATAAAAACCAGGAATTTTAAAAGAGAATAAGTATAGAATGGAGATTGGGAGATAATGGCATTCTCTGGTTAATTTATTAATTTTTCCCTGTTTGGTGGCAGTGCTGGGTTCAAACCCAGGCCCTTGCTATGTAAGCACTCTGTCATTGTCCTACTTACTAGTGCTGACCAATAAAGTAAATGAAATGCCACATGACCCAATTATCTTCTTTATCTCTGGGCCATTTACTTGTATTTTTCGTAATTGTTTCATGTACTTATTCCATCTACACACTCATTTTCTTCCCTAAACCATGTTTCCTGAAAGCACAAAGGTGTTCCAGACTTGCAATTTGAACACAATAGAGATGACCTAGGGCACAGGTAGTCTACCAGAGAAGGGCTTCCAGGAAACATCAATGAAAGAGTATAGACCATGAAGCAAAAGACAGAGGGCAGCAGATTAAAAAGATAGGTTAATGGGAAGGTTATCACTGTAGGGTTCAGTTCCACTGGGAAAACAACAAGAACTCCACATAACGTTCCTCAGGAGTATCCCGTGAAGCCCTGTGGAACTCACCAACCTTTTCTAAAACCCACTGATTGAGAATTACCCTTCAAGCATTCAGTCTTCAGTGACTTCTAGGTGCTCTGAACATAAGGGAGAAAACTCACACAGAACCAGATAACCTGGAACACACAGGATTTGAGGGGAGAAGCTGAAAACATGCCAGAAACTATCCACCCTGCCTTCCAATCAGCCTACAGATGACCCAAGAAGACACAAAGTGAAACTCTCAATGGTGGCTACCACCACAGGTCTTTTCTTTCCCAGATGGAGAACCAAATATTTGGAAGGGTTTGGAAAGACAAAATTATATTCAAAAACGGAGAGAGGTCATTTTACTATTGCAGCACTAGTCATCCCTCCAAATAAGATATTATTTAAACTTAGAAGAATCAGGGAGAGAACATCAAGTATGCATACTGCATTCACGCACAGTTACACAGAATTGTAGGAAATCCAAATGACAACTCAAAGACAGCATTTTTTTTTAACTTTCCCACTAATGTGATTGTGTTTCCTTCTACAGCTACCTGCTTCCTGATGATAACAAAGCCACCAAGCACAAAACTGCGGTTGTAAAAAAGAGTGTTAATCCTCAGTGGAATCACACATTCATATTCAGTGGCCTGTATCCTCAGGATATAAAGAACGTTTGCCTAGAACTCACCATCTGGGACAAGGAGGCCTTTTCCAGCAACATCTTTCTAGGAGGTGTCCGGTTAAACTCTGGAAGCGGTAAGGAATTGGGCGAGCTGGAGCTGGCCTACGCCTGGGCATGGGCAAGAGCATAACCGGTACAGGTGTGATGTGTTGTAGACTTTCATGTAGTTTGAGCTCTAACTAACTCCTGAAGTAACACAGATGCCTCATTCTTTTAGATGGAGATCTGATCACTGTTAAAATATAAGTGTTAATGTGGTAGCTTACATTGCTTAAAGTTGAGCAAGTATTTATATTTATCCTTGATCCTTTCATAGAAAAATCTTCAATACATTTATGCAAGTCACTTTCAAGTACTTTCTTGGGTCTTCAGGTTTTGCGCAGGTGAAAATCAAGACAACACAGACTTGTGATAGAAGGCCTCATAAGGTTGCCTTTACTTCATCTTCTTTTAGAACTTCAACTCAAGAATGATCATGTTGAAAGGAAACCACATTTTCTCTACAGACAACATTGTTCATACAAGCAATGTGTCTTAGTTTGCTTTCTTTTGCTATGATAAAGACAATGACAAGGAGCTACTTGGGAAGAAAAGGGTTTATTTCAGCATGTTATTTACAGTCCGTCATGAAGGTGAATCAGGGCAGGAAGTCAAGGCAGGAACATAGAGGCAGAACTGAAGTAGAACCACAGAGAAATACTGCTTACTTGCTTGCTCAGCATGGTTTTTATATAACCCAGGACCACCTGCCCAGGGGTGGCACTGCCCCCAAGCGAGCTGTTTCCTCCCCCATCAATCATCAGTCATGAGACTTCCCCACAGACTTGCCCTCAGGCCAATCAGATGGATGCATTTTCTCAATGACCTGAGTGTGTCATGTTGATAGAAAACTAAACACAGAATGAACATATATAACTCATGTCATAAAATACAGCAATGTGTGAACTAGGTGGGGAGACATGTTACAGTTGTCAAATGCTTTGTCACTAGAAGTACACATGCAGTCACCCCAAATCTCTTTATTCCATATCTTAGGTCAGTCATATACCATGTCAACATTTTGGTTGAGAAAGACCCCATCTATATGAAGCTTTTTTATAGATTAAGGAGAGCAGGGGATACATACGTCAGTAAACTTGAAACTTCCAGGGTCAGAGAAGCAGCTATGTTAGAAATAGAGATCTTCATATCTGAGGCCAGCCTGTGAACTCACATTAACTTAGTTTAGATGAATTGGTTCTCTGCCAAGCTATCAAAGTAGGAAGGAAACAAGACATCAGGTGCCATTCTGATTTCTCTGCACAACCTAAGCAGAAGGAAGTCCTGCAGGCTTCAACACACTGACTCATTTGAACACTTCTCATTAGATATGGGAACTGAGAAGAGGCCCAAAGGGGATTTTTACTTAAAAACTCCCCTCAGGGACTCTTACTTGCCTTCCAGAAGGTTGACCCCCTGTATGAAATGTTGTACCCCCTTTTCCCTTCTTCAGGTTTCAGCCATGGGAAAAGTGTAGACTGGATGGACTCTCGTGGGGAAGAACAACGCCTTTGGCAAAAGATGGTTGACAACCCTGGAACATCTGTAGAGGGAGTTCTCATGCTGCGTTCCAGCATGGCGAAATGTAGGCTCTGAAGGGACCAATTCTGCAAGAACGACATCTCTAGTTGCCTGCTGTTTTCTCTCGGCACAGGACTGGGACCTTGAATTCTGTTTCCCTATCATTTCTCACCTAAGGGTATTAGGACACGAGAGGAGCTATGTCAGTGTTGTGAACATTTAGGATCTTGCTGATTGTCTAAAAACCATATCCTTCTATATGTTCACCTACTCAGGCTTCCCTGAGTAGACGATAGGAAGTGTACCACACCATCTTGCCAACAAGCAAAACTATGTAATGGCTCATAGGCTTTATATCAACAGAAATGACACAAGCTTATTGGAAAATATCATTGAGATTAGGGGTCCTCAAACCTTTCCCAACCAAGTTACTTAAGGTTTCTTCAGTTTGAGAAGAGAAGGGAACACCAAGAAAGCAGATTGCTTGAAGAATAACAAAGAGAGATCCTGGCCACTTTGCTTATCCTGGGACTGCCTGTGATGTAAAGAAGGCATGCTGGGAATGGTTTGGGAGATGGGGTAGAATCCATTTGTAGTGGCAAACATCAGGATGGAGGTGGTAATGTTTTACGATGTCCTGGTGGGGTTCTGGTAACTGCAGAATTCATCCTCTAATTCAGCCTCCTTTTGAAAGTGAAGAGAGCTAAATGATTACACATGATTACACACACACACACACACACACACACACACACACACACGCGCGCACTAAAACAGACACAAACTAGAGTGTGTGTAGAGAAATTGGAATATAAGGTCATCTTGCTGATAAACTAGCAATTATTGAACTATGTTACAAAAATATTTTGTCTAATATTACAAGCCATTATGTAAAAAGAAATAAGAAATAAGGGACAGTCAATTTATATCTTCACATTTTGTTCACTAGAGAGACTAGCTAAGTGAAAAGGGAGCTACTCCAGTGTGTGTCTCTCTCGTGCTGCTATAGGAAAGAGTCAGGAACTCCATGTTCTCTCTTTCATTTTCTCTTTATTCAAGTTCTTATCTGTTTATGCTATTATAATGGCAAGTAACAAACCACACCAAAAGTCAATGACTTAAAATGAAGACCATTTTTTTCATGTCTATGAAGGTTGGCTAGGAAAGCGCGACTTCCTCCTTATAGGCCTGAGGATCCAAATCAGATGCTTATTTCTCATCCTCATTAAACCAAAGCCTGAGTGTGGTGATGGCAGAGGTGTACTTGGATAAGTCACACTGCTCAATCACGTAAGTGTGTATACCTCATTTGTCAAAAGGAAGCCATATTGCTAAGTCCAAAATCAATAAAAAAAAAAAAGGAAATATGCCTTGCCCACAGTGATGCCAGTGACAAGAGTGAGTGTTCAAGAAACGATGGTGAAACAGAGGCCAGTAGTTGAATCCATTATAAGTCCTGTCATTTTGGTGCCTAAGCTACCAAATTTAGAAGCAAAGTCATTTAAATCCAGAAGGGTTGCCAAGCTTGGTTCTTTATTTTATGGGTTCCAACCCTGCCTTCAAGAGAACTGAAATAACTTGTCCAAGGTCATGCAGAGGCTGTGACTGAATCTGGACTTAGCTCCTAGGCAACTTTGACATGACTCTATGTTATCAAGGTGGATAGATGATCACATGTCAAAGAAAAATCATAGTCTGATTATTTAAACATAAACATACATGGTCTATGCCAGATGTGGTAGGTTATACTTGTAATCCCAGCAATTTGGAAGTGGAGGGAGGAGGATCAGAAATTCAAGGTGAGCCTTGGCTACATAGAGAATTTTAATCTATTCTGGGCTATATAGCCAGACCCTATCTCAGTGGCACCCCATGCACCAAAAACATGAATACTCCAGATGTTATGGAATCAGATTCAGTTCCTTATAGCTCATTTCTTCATTTTGATACATGCAAACCCTTTACAATCTAACAAATGAATGTTAGTAGTAGGAGAACTAAAACCATGTTCAGATTCATTCTACTTAGTTGCTACATGTTTTTAGATACGTTTTTGAAAATTGAAAACTCACTTAAGAATGTATCTAATATTCTTCATAGTAAGGGAATACACAAGCGATTTCCAGCATTATTCAAAAATAGGTCATCTATAGAAAACTCAGTCTATCATAGCTCAGTAAATACGGTACTTCTTAAGGATTCACACGCCATTATGCAGAAAAGAAAGCTATATGCTTGGTACTATTTCTCACATTGGAAAAATAAATCATCTTCAAACATGATTGGATTCAGTGACATTTTAGGGGATGTGAGAAGGTGGTGATGGTGAAGCCAGTCTCTGGAGTAGATACAACAAACTAGATTTATTCACTAAGAAAATGTGGTTAAATAATTCTTAAATTTACATCTTAAACCCAAGAAGAGCATGAACCTTTGTGTTCAGATCAAATTCAAAGCAGTTCTCTGTACAATTGTTTCATGAAATCCAGCATCTTACTGGGTATCTCTTTAATACAAACCCCAGATACACTAAATAGATCAGAAACCACAGGAAATATGGGTAAGTCATCTATGTTTAATGCTTCTCCCAGCAATCTTCTCTTTTTAACAGCAAGCACTTTGGAATTCAAAATGAGATATATATATATATCTTACTCAGCTATCCACTTTCATGCATCCTCCCTACAGAAGTAGATATGTATATGAAAAATGAGCACCTATAGGTGCTTGGGTTTCTGAAAGATATCAGAACAATACAAAACCCACCAACAGAAGTCTGAAAATCACACACTCCGGATTTTTTCTGTTTCTAGTTACGAGTTACTTCTCCTCTTGTGCCTCTGATAGTTCTCAGCATAACTGTTACCATTTGGATTCTTCGGTGCTCTCTTTCTCCTCACTTCTAACCTACTTTCATGGTAACATACTTATGATGTAAAATTTGCTTATCCAATGCAGACCTTTCTTCTCAGCCCTAGACAAGATCCATCAAACCACTTTAGTTATTCCTGTCACAGCCAAGTAAACAGAGCTAAGAAATCATAGGGGGAAACACGTAGGTCACAAATACCTGTTTCATAGGATGCCTTGCAAGCCCTAGGCAACCAAATGACGAACTATGACTTTAAGACAAAATTTACTTAACAGTTGCCACTGATCACCAATCTAAGCTTGCCAGCTCCCAGAAAGACGTTACCAGTCATATGAACTTGCTTCCAAAACAATCTGTGTTATTTCTTCTCTCTTCAATAAAAGTATAATCTTTTCCCTTATTCTCTCGATATACCAGATACTGCCCTGTGTGTGTGTGTGTGTGTGTGTGTGTGTGTGTGTGTGTGTGTGTGTGTGTGTGTGTGTTATGGTGTCTGTGTATATAGTACAATTCTATATTTCTATTCACTCTCAAATAAAACTCCCTTTCTTGAAGATTGATTTCTATAACTGTATTATATGATGACAACCTAGATCTAACCACCAGTATGACATCTCAGGATAGCTTCTTTGAAAATATGTTCAAACTAAATACTCTGCTATCCTTCTTGTTCTCATCTTCTTGCTCTAGCCTATCCCATCTCAGTACTTAGGGGCACCCATCCTCTAACCCATGACAGTAACCAGGCATCGTGGAATGATTTTTATTTCTTGCTTCTCCTTTGCCCAGAATCAGTCAGGGAATCATATTGAGTCTACTTCTTAACTTTCCTCATCCCTGTGACAGCACTCAAGTCCGAACTAATGTCACTGCTTTCTATGACTCCTTCAGTAGTCTCCCAGCTTTAATCCTTTTGAATTGTTTATTTTTATTTATTGTGTGTATTTATGATGTGTATGTTGCATACACATGTGGAGTCCTCTCGTTACCCCTTCACATAGATGCTGGGGACTGAACCTGGGTAATTAGTGTCATGCTGCAAGTATGTTCAGCTGCAATGTCTCTCTGGCTGTTTTCTTTACAGTTATTCCAGCCTCCACACTAGAAACAGAATGATTGATTCATCTCAAAATTGTATTTTCAATGTCCAACTATACAGAAAAGTCAAAAGAACTGCTCTTGACCTAATGACCTAAATTTACCATCTAGCATTAGCACATGACTGTACTTGTCTGTGATTGTAGAGAGGATAGCTGTCCATCTCTGGAGTGATCTATGTAACTTCCCATGGGCTTTCAATTGACCTGAACATCAAGTTTAAATTACTGTAGATGGTCCAGCATAAGAAGGCTGCTGCCCTTTCTCTAGCGTATCCCAAGCTGTGTCTCCCCTCTCTGCTTCCTCTCTTTCTCTTTAACCACCTTGTGTGCTTTCTTGTCCACATTAACCCCATCCCCATAAGTCATCCAGGTCTTCAATGCTATGAATGCTAATTCCTCAGGAAAGCCTTCTACATCCTGTGCTGAACTAGGCCACAGAAGCCTGCCTTCATTTCCCGTTCACTGCACCAATCACAATTACATTCAATTATTCATGTAATGAAACTTTTGGTGCCTAAGTGAGCTGTCTCTCCACTATGTAAGGTTCATAAGGGCAGAAGCAATGCATTTTCACAGCCGTATCCCCAGTGCTTGACTGAGAATAGGTAATCAAAACTGTATGTGAAATAAGTCAAAAGAATACAAAAATAACATCACAGAGCGTTACATCAGTAAGCATTTTTAAAAGCCACCATTTCAAAGTGAGAGGGGAAGGAGGAGATAGAGCAAGGGTGGATATGGAATTGCATGTCTTAACTAGGGAGTTGGGTCATTGACGGAATGAAATGGGGACTACTGAGAGAAATGAGCTGAAGACTGACAAAGCATCACGTGTTTGAACAGTATCCCTCTGACTGCTGTATCCAGTACATGTTGATGAGACATCAACTTGCAACACTCAGGTTATTTTCAACTACAAGTAACAAAATAACAAACTAAAGGTTACGCCATCCTTAAGCCTATAAGGAGGGCTTAGTCTAGTTTGCACAGCTGTGGTTTGCAGGCTAGCTATCCCCTGGATTAAGACTAGTGATTCTTCATCACTGCTGTAGTCACAACGCTGATGATTATTAGGGTATCTGAATGAAAACTGAAGAAGGGAGAGAATGTTGGCAAACTAAAAGTAATTGACAGAGAGATATTACTTAAGTTGGACAATAGTGTCAATGCTTTCTAGGAAATCTGTGGACACTACAGATAAAATTTAAGTTTTCATATATGTTATTCTTTATTGTTAGTCAATGCATTCAATAAATTATTTCATGCACATTAAAAAAAATCACTATTTCCAACTCCCAACTAAAAATAAGGGAAAACTGGAGCCCACACTGATAAAAAAAATTCTGAAGGTGCTTGCAAATTGGTCTTTTAAAAATACTCTTTCTAAGTTAGTAATAATGTATTATTTAAAAACAACTAAAGGACAAGTTTTAATGTTCTCAGGACAAATGATAAATAATTAATGTGATAGATATGCCAAACAGACTGATTTGATAATTAATTTGTATATATATATATATATATATAAAAACACCATACCATATCCTTCTAAATGTATATAATATTTGTTAATTGAAACAGAAATCAACCTTCTGTAATACTATAGTAATAGCCCTAGACAGGTGATAAGCTTTTCAGGAGAATAGAAGACAACCTTGCCTGGAATATTTCACTCCTTATTTAGAGATTCCAGTGTTCAATTTTTCCATGAATAAACCAAAAATGTTGTGAGGAGACAGATAATCTTAAAAGCCCGATTTTATCTTTAAAGGCATAAATAGCACTTGCAACATATGAACATAATAATCTCTTATTTCACTCATTTTGTTATCACTGTACTTACTAATGAGATGTAGATTTCCTAGGGCACAAAAACAAGGAAAGTTTGGAACATCCTATGCCTCCTTTTCTTTAAAAGGTCATTAATATACGACTAATGACAAGTACATACTTAAGTAGATAACAAATGAATTGCACTCACCTGATTCACAGTAATGGGAGTCATGCAATCCTCTGATACTCCAAAGTTTATATTTGGCTGGAAAGAAGAAAGCCATGGAAGAAATAATGACAAGCCCTACTTGTAGGAATAAAGGTATTAGAAATATCAAGTCCAAGAATCCTCTGAAACTGGAGCATTTTAAGTTGTGATCAGTGTTGTTTTTTTTCCATACAATATGTCTCACATTGATCTGAACACTGTCGCTAGAAATTAACAGGACCTTTCCTTCAACAATAGTGCCATTTATGACCTTTGAACTAAGACAAGAAACAGCATGTACAAATATATACTGGAAAATCAGGAATATTGTGACATATTAAGAATTAGGAAAGATTATCTGAAGCATTATTCCATTTTAAAACGAGTTACAATTTGAGAAATGCTGTATTTAAAAGATAAACTCTGCCTCCTAAATATCCCATAACCTTCCCAAATAGCACCACCAACTGAGTACCAAGTGTTCAAACTCATAAGCCTGTGGGGTCATGTCATGTTCAAACACAGCACAATGCAACCAGGATGAAGTGAAAAAAACTTAACCCTGGTCTCAGAGGACCTAAGTTCAAATCTTGACTACTTACCAATCAATCATCGGAAGTCAGTTAATTATCCCAAATAGCCCTTGGTCTGTTTGACTGTCAAATGGAAAATAGTCTCCTTTAGAATAGCTAAGATATTGAGCCAATGACGTGGCTCAGGAAATAGAAGCATGATGGCATGAGTTCCATCTCCAAAACCCATGGGAGAAAGAAAGCAGTGACTCCCAAGGGTTATCCTCTGGCCTTCACATGCATACTATGAAACATACATGTATGCAGATATGAATAAATTTTTGAAAAATGAAGATACCTAATGAATTAATGTACATAAAATATGGCTTGCAAAATGTAAACTACTGTAGAAAAATGAATAACTTTAACACTTTGTGATTTATAATCTCTTTAACTCTTCGTATTAGATGCTGGGTTGGATCTTAAGCATTCTATATACAATAAAGTGCCCCCCAGTGTACAAAAAATATTTGAAAAGATACCTATTATGAGACATACTATAGTTTGAATATTATATGTCCCCCCAAAGGCCATGTGTTAAAGGATTAACCACTATTGGGAGGTAAAATAAAGTTGAAACAGTGGATCACATGTGACGTCTTCAAGTTATAAGTGGTTACTAGGATCCTGGCCCCTTCCCACCCCCAATCCAAGCCATAAAATAAATAGTTTTATCATACTTTCTTGCCAAGATTTTTCTGGCCCACCACCAGAGAACTAAAAGCAATGAGGTCAACAAACCATGGGTTAAAACCTCCAAATCCTGTCTATCTCAAGTATTTATTACAGTAAATGGAATGCTAACAAATGCGACAATTTACTTTAGGCCAGAATTTCATGTTTCAACTGATTTGTTAATGAATGTTACAGAATATATTTAATTTACTGAAGATAAAAACTATAGCCCAGTTTTGTTTATGTGATAAAATTGAGAACCTGCTAGCAATCCAACAACCCAACTTTCCTATCTTTACTACCCTTTCCTCAGATCTTCTCCCAGAGTAAAAGCCATCTTTTTCTATGGCCTTCCTTATTCTCCATGACATATTGATGAAACCTGCCTTTCTCACAAGAATATTTTTCAAGATAACGCTTTTAATCTACAGAAACAAAATTACCATTCTGTTAAACACACACCCCATAAAAAACACAAACTAATATGTCACCATGAGTAAGCCATAATATTTCAAATATGATCAGTTGTGCTTTATTTACTTCACTAGAATTCATCAACCTATTCTGGAGAAGGATCCTTAGAAAAGTGAAATTGAGTTCGTATTTAGTATAGCCTGTAAGTAACAAAATGTTCATACTTTTATCAAACATTTTAACACAAGAAGAAAGTTATCTGTGTTTTCCCTTTTCTTTAAATGAGGCTGAATTGATGCACACAATTGAAGCAAAGTTGAAGTCATTAGAATCTGGCAGGAGGTCAGAGAGCTATCTATGTGTTATCTGTTGTTAAATATACTAATGCCAATAAAGGGAATCAGATTATACTTGCCACATAATTTTATACTTACCCAGATTCTATTTGGACATCAGAAAGTTCAATCTTGTTTGTGAAAATGCATAGGAATTGATGAAGCACAACCGTAAGACTTTGTTTTCATTCGTTCTCTTTTAGAAACAAGTAAGAATGGAAGCCACTCCATCACAAGCAGTCATGTCAATCACTCAGAGCTATTTTAAAAGAGAGATTATTGATTTCCAGCTGACATAGAGAAAGGGACGTCTAGACTTTTTCTCACTCTTTCTGGTGCTCCTTGGGTTGATGGAGTACACACAGAGGTTTAGGAGATCCTTTCACTGCTTTTTTGCACATAGGTTTCTGGAAATACCATTCCTCAATTTAAACTCTTTCCTGGCACCTCAGGACCCAGGTTAACATTATTTACTTGCAAAACATATGAATTATCAGAGCCATGTGAAGACACAAGGTACCCTGGTAGCTTCCTAAGGTCCCAAGAGGCATTGAGCATCACTGCAAATATAACGAAGTAGGGAACTGCTCTCAGGAAGAATATGATATTAACAGGAAAAAAAAAAACCATAGTAGCTGCTTGAGTGTATAGGTGAGGTAGAGATCCTGTCCCTGAAGAGCAATTCATGAGTAGTAGATTGCTTTCTATGGACAGTTTTAGGACGATGGTGTTGTTTTGCTGAATATGATATACCAGTTTGGGCCAGACATAAATTGCTAAGAACAAAAGGGAAAGAGGAGCTTGCCTTCCCTGAGGGCTTCCTTTGTATCTCTTCCATCAGTAAAGTGTGCCTCAATGTAAAGTCGTACAAATATTTAAGGAGGTTATTAAAGCCATAAAGTGGTGGGGCACAGTTGTAACCCTATCTACTCAGGATGGTAAGGCAGGAGGATCATAAGTTTGGGGCCAGCCTTGGTAACTTATGAGGGCCTTGTCTCAAAAAAAAAATTTAAGACGTGAGCTGGAGCTCAATGTTAGAGCCCTTGCCTCACATGTGTGAGACCCCGGGTTCAGTCGTCAGCATCAAAAGTAAATTCAATTCAATTGATCTGAGAAATGCATCACCTCATCAGCTCAGGTACTGGCCCAGCTCTGTGACTGCACTGAGTGTCCCATTTCCAGAGTAAGCATTGTACTGATGAGCATGGGTTTAGTGGATTGCAGAAGAAAGGCACATTTTCAATGTCTCATGAACATCTATGAATCACTGGGCCACAGAGTTAGACCTAGTCTTCAGGAAAAATAAAAGGGGCAATTTTCCCAATTCTGTTATAGACTGAATCATCCATACACATGTTCATTCACTTGCCAAGGTACTCACCTAAACTTTTTTTTCTGGTAGGAAGTTGACCTATTTTGCCTGCTTATAGTTAACAGATTTTATTTCTTAGGGAAAATTTGGGTTTACGGAAAAACTGTGCAGAAGTTACAGGGCGATTTAATATACTGTCCATCTCTACCGTTTCTCTAGTTATCTCTTTTGTATCAGTGTGGCACATTTATTAGAATTGATGAGACAATATTTGGACTTTTTTTTTTGGTTTTTCGAGACAGGGTTTCTTTGTGTAGTCTTGGCTGTCCTGGAACTCACTCTGTAGACCAGGCTGGCCTCGAACTCACAGAGATCTGCCTGGCTCTGCCTCCCGAGTGCTGGGATTAAAGGCATGTGCCACCACTGCCCGACTTTGGACATTATTTTTAACTTAAGGTAATACTTTATAATAAGGTCCATGCTTTGTATTTTAGAGTACTGCTTGCCTTGATAAATGCATAAACCATAAAGATTCCTTATAGACTTGTTTCTTTTGCTTAGCAATATGCATTTAAGGTTCTTTCATGTCTTTTTGTGATGTGATACTTCAATATTTTCTGTGGTAAGTGCAATTCACATGATACCAATGCTCTTCACAAAATTTTAAGTGCAATGCATATACATTTATATATATATGTAAGTTTGCTTTTATGTATAAACTATTCAAAGTATAGAACATTGAGAAATCAAATGTTTTAATCTCAGGAGATGATAGGAAGTCTGCATTCATTTGGCTATTTTGTAATTGTTGGCTACAAAGTTCCTCTTTGCTTACCTTAACATGTTTAGCACAAAATTAGTAATAATAATATTTAAATGTTTAATATGTTTATTTCTAAGCTTCTAAATGGGGTTTTATGCTAGACTAATGATGTATGCCATCTTGGAAATTAGGCAAATGGTAATGTATTGTTCATTAAATTCACTTTCCTATTATCACTAACATTTTGTCTTCTGAGTCATTCTGAGCTCTGGAAGATGGATTGTGTGTCCTTGAAGATTAATTATGTGCCATCTAGTCTTACTGTTTTACATTTATTTGTCTCTGAAGACATGAGCATTTGCTGAACTGACATGGGTAAGCTCAACCTGTGATTCTGTATATAAAAATAATCAAAATCTTAACAAAAATCAGAGAGGTAATGTAGCCCTAAGGTAGTGTAGCCCTAAAGTAGAGGTGTGCTATTTTCCCTATTGTGTGAATGTACCACATACTTAGACTCAAAAGAACACCTTACGTACCTCTGGCCCAGGAACTCATTTTACAGTGAAGAATGTGCACCTTGGACTCATGTTATGAAATTTACTAGTCTTACCACATGTCTCATCATCCCAAAATTGTTGGTTTGATGTCTTGCTCAAAGCTCAGTTGTAGAATCAGCTGATAAACAGTGAGGATGAGGAAATAACTTCATGATATAGTGTGTGCCTTAAACCAGAGGCACATATGTGTTAATGTATATATGTCAATGTGTGTGTGTGTGTGTGTGTGTGTGTGTGTGTGTGTGTGTGTGTGTGTATGGTGGTGTCTCTCAGAACGCCAGAAGGCATGGGTGAAGGACCATTATGTAGAGCTGTGAATGGCTCCTCTTATGTTTAAACATAACTGACTACTAAAGAAATGTTCTTTACTTATTTCCATAAGCTTGACTTCTGTGAGTCTATGTGTTTTGAACATATGCCACTCAACTGATTTGGGTAAAGAATGGGGGTGGAATTATCGAAAGGAAATTGGGTTGCTCACACACAGGGTTACAAGGAGAAGCAAGTAGCCAAGGCAGGGGATTGCCTAAGGAGAACTCTTCTTAGCACTTTGATCTATAATCCTGACGAGTGGAAACTACAAGCACACAATCAACACAGGGCCACTAAGAAGCATCCATTCCAGAAGGGAAAGGTTGGATTCCTCATCTGGATAAAGCAATCAATCTAGTTGAAGTGCTGAGGAAGAGTCAAAGAGAATCTGAATGACATATCACCTCAGCCCCCATGGCTAGTCACAGAACTTAGACTGAAGCACTGACATTTTATGTTACTTAGCTTTTTCCTTCCAACTGTATTGTTTCCTGGCTATAATACTGCGTGGAGAAAAATGGTGGTAGCTAAAGCTTTACAGTTCATATGGGAATATGAAAAGATTGATATTGCCCTTCACTGACAGTAGTCATGGGACTAAACATTTTCTTAAAGGGATAGATGATAAATTGGACTTTATGAGCCATATGGTCTTTGTCACAATGACTCCTCTCTGCTGCTCTAGCATGAAAACAGCTATAAACAATTTGTGAAAGAATGTGTGTGGCTGTGTCCCAACTAAAATGTTACTAGCAAAAACAGATGGCCAGCCTGTGGGCTGTAGTCTGCTGACTCTGGGAGTAGGTGATGGGGAAATTTTGGGATCCCTGTACTGAGGAATTAGATTTTATTTGGACAAAAGAACCCAGTAGATGCCACAAACTTTCAGCGTACTTTCTTTTTGCATTTTGAAATGCAAAGTTCATTATTGTTATCTGTCATTGCCCTGAGGTATATCAGTATATCAGAATGTTTTCCTCTTTTTTGCTGATAGCAGATAGATTGACACGAAAAGAACAAAGAAATAGAAATAGAGTAGATGTGAAGGGCTAAACGGGATGAGCTATGTTGGGTAGTTTGGTTTGTCCCACCACATCCACTCTCTAAAACTTCCCAAACTTGTGTGCTTCACTCCTTTACTCTCTGGATTTTGGTTGGTTTGGAACACTTCACCAACGGCAGGAGCTCAGAGGACAGGAGGAAAGAGGTTGGGTTTTTGTTTACAGTGCTTCTTCCTCCTGGCCTGAAGGTTGTGTTCCTTTGCTACTCCTCTCTGTGACTTCTAAAACTATACACACAGTTCTTTCTAGGTTCCCTTAATCGTGCCCTCTTCTTGTCCTCTAAGCCTAGGATAGATGATTCTTGGTTCTGCTGGATTTGAATGCTTCCAAAGCTCTTACTGAGTTCTTTTTCCCATGTCCACATCATTACAAGCAAGTCCTTTCGTTATTGCCTTCTTTAATTCCCTTTTGAGACTGTCATGTTTCCCACCAGGACCTTGACTGAGAAGGATGTTATTTGAAGACACTGTGACTTCAGAGATGTTAAAATCTGAAAAGAAATCTGCACCTTAAGATCAGTGAACTATGCTGGTTGGTAATACATGCCTAATAAATGAATGAATCAATGAGTTCTTAGTGGTCAGTGAGGCAGTGTGATGTTATCAATGATGTATTGTACAGAAATAACTTTAAAAATCAGAATCAACACTGCTCCTTCCTAACTACTTAGATGCTTCCCCCCCCCCCTCCCCTTGTTTCTGGAAACTAACAAAAAGATCGCAGAATTCCTAGTTGTTAGACCGGAAGCAAAAACATTAAAAGGTGATTGAGTGATACCATTTCTTATGAGATCATTCCAAAGCAAATGCTTCCAACATAGATATACTTCCCCTTTCTGTGAAATAGTAAGAGGGACTGTGAAGGAACCCAAGAAAGCCTTGAGAATGTGTAAAGAGCAGATGAAATACTGAGTGAATGTATATTGTTTGACTTGATGAGCATAATCATCTCAAGGAATCCAATGCCTCCTTCCCCTGGTGATGCTCAGAGTGATGGCAAAGCTTTCCTCTGGTCTAAGTGTGAATGTTGACAGGATGTGCAAGTGAGTACGAGTGTTTCTGGATGATTGTTGGCTAGTCTGCAAAAACTAGCAAGTGCAGCTTCCTCCTCTCAAATGACTGCAACCCGAGACTGCTCTCCTATGTAGACCAGCTAACTCCTCCTCCTGTGCCATGCATAATAAACACGCTGAGGTTCTGAATTGTTGAGTTGTAGGAGTCCTCCATCAGAGTGAGCACATTCCACATGATCCCAGCTTTTCTGTATGTGCGTTTGTTTGTGTTTCTTCATTCCCTCAATGCCCCTCCCTGGTCAGATCAAGTCCTAGCCATGCAGGACCTGTCAGGATGGTCACTTGTGACTATAAAAACTGAATTCTGAACTTTCTGGAGGAGAACAGTTCAGCAGCCGTGGGAACACATCAGACTCCTCAGTGGGAGGGCACACATATTCACTACCTTATGAAATGACTGACATATTATGGCCAAAGCTATTTTAAGAGACATAGTCTTCTTTACTGCCATTACTCAGACATTATTTAGTTCAGACTGCCTATCTAGAACTTAGAAACCCTCTAGCAAAACTAATTATCAGAACTGCACATGTCATATTATAGAAAACTAGTAATGACAGGGGGCTACTCAATCCAAAACAAGAATCGTCGTACTTTTGCAAAAGTCTGCCCTATTTCCTCCCTAATTTCCAGCTTCATGACTGTTCATATGGAGACAAAGGAACAAGTACCTCACATCTAGCCCTCCTCAGTGTTTCTTGGAGTGCTAATCCAGGATAAAATGAGGCGCTTTCACCAGAATCTAAATCAATGTGCTGACTCCTTCATTAAGAAAGCTTTGCTATCAAAACTTCCAGCTGAACAATGTAATATTTATTGACATTTCTAATACCTGCTATGGGGCAAGCTCTATAGTTTCTTTTCTAGATTATTTTTTATTGCTTTTAATTATTCCTTTGAGGGGGACACCCACATGCCAAGACACACTTGTGGCAGTCAGAAGATTAACAGAACAGAGAATCAGTTCTCTCCTTCCAACATGTGGGAACGAGTAATTGAACTCACAGGTCATTGGGCTTGGTGAAAAACTCCTTTATCTGCCTACTCATCTTGCAGGCCCTCCTTGTCTTGATGACCCATAACAAGTGGTTCAGGGATCAGCAACAAATAGGATGGTCAAACTGTGAGAAGCTTTGGTCTAGAGAGTTTTGGAACTCAGTCCTTTCCGAAGTCCACATTGCTGTCACTTAACATTTTTCCCTTTTCTGCTTTTCTAAAAAAGAAGTCCAAGTTCTCACTCTAACCTAGCAGTTCATGCTTTATATTGGGGCACAGGCCTGCAATCAGTGCCACTCAGGAGACTAGGGCACAAGGATTACAAGTTCAAGGCCAATCTTTGCTGCAGACTGAGTTCAAGGACAGCCTAGAGAATTTAGAGAGACAATGTCAAAAAACAGGGAAAATATGGCAGGCTATACAAAATGTTCAGTTGTCGAGAACTCACCTGAATGCATAAGGCCAATCTTTAGTTCAAATCATCTAATAGCCTGCTCAAGTGTCAAACAAAATTCCACAAAAGTAAGAGACACATTGGAAGATATTTCAGAGAAAGACTGAGATTGGTTTATGTTCAGAGATGAAAGCTTTTCAGTATCCTTCTGCAGAGAAATGTATCATTTCTGGAGAGATGGGGAAGGGAATGGGCAGAGGATGGGGGAGAGGAGAGGAGATGATGCAAAGCCCCAAATTTACAAAATGCTATGTAAAGAAATGAAATTGTTTTCTGGCTCAAGCAAATGCATCAATTGCTGTGCATCATCACAAGTGGCACTATGTAATGGAAACATCTGCACAATGTACACCCACCAGTAAAATTGATTCTGATTAAAGAAGCTAGGGCTTGGGGATGTAGCTCATCTGGTAAGAGTTCTTGTTTAACATACACAAAACTCTGGGTTCAATACTAAGCAGTGTATAAGTCAAGAATGATGTGCATTCCTATAATTCCAGCATTCAGGAAATAGAGTCAGTTCCTGGCCAACATGAGCTAGGTGAGACCCTATTTCAAACAACAACTGTAAGAGCTAGATTTACACTTTTCTGTGCCTTTTTCCTAAGGAGAAATGAGTGCTGCATTTTCCATGAACTAAGCATAATTCTAGTGTTGTAAGTGTAGACACTAAGCATTGTCCAAGGCAGAGAAGCACTAATTAGTGTTTCTCCAGAGGAAAAACATGTGCTCCTATCAGCAGTTCTACCCAGGAACCTTCTCACTTCACCCCAAACAGAGGTTGC